TTTTTAAAGGTTTTTTAAAAGGATTTACAAGTGTTTTTAAAAGGATTTTAAAGTGTATTTAAAGGCATACAAAGATTTAAAAATAATTTTAAAGGATTTATAAGAAGTTTTAAAGGGTTTTAGAAGTTTACAAAGGTTTTAGAAGTTTACAAAGGTTTTTGAAGGGTTTACAAAAGTTTTTAAAGGTATTACAAGTTCTTTAAAATGGTTTTTAAGGATTTACAAGGGTTTTAAAGGGTTTTAGAAGTTTACAAAAGTTTCTATTAAATGATTTATCACGGTTATAAGGGATTTACAAGTGTTTATAAATGTTATAAAATGATTTACAATGGTTTTAAAAGATTTACTCAAGTTTTGAAAGGTTTTGGATGACTTTTAAAAGATTTACAAGGGTTTTTAAAGGATTTATAAATATTTACAAGGTTTTTTAAGGAATTGCGAGAAAAATTTTGTCGGAAAATTTTTGGCGGGAAAATTTAGCGGGAAATTTTTTTGGAAGGAATACTCTTCTTGTTGAAAAGAATATTCCTTTCTTCATCATGAGTTATAATAAAGGAGGGTAATTTAGTCATTTTGTACATTGAAGAGTGTATTTTTGAAAATGGACACCTGGAGAGGCTACTTGTAGAAAAGGGTAACATAAAAAGGTTAGTTGGGCAAATCTCCCTAAAAATAATCAAAATGCAAAATTTTAATTTTTGTTAAATTTAAAAACGAAAATACTGAGTTTTTTTTAATTAAATTACCTAATAATTTATTGTGAATATTGTGTTTGAGTATATTTCTATTGTAAAAAGTAAAATCGAGTAGGATAATTATGCTGGTTAGCCCTAACAATTCAACTATAAATATATAGTTTCGACCTCTAAATTAGTACCTCGTTCTATTAGTTTCATTGTTCTGACTTTAAAAAAAAAAATTGTGTTGTAGTTCATATTTTGATAATATAATTTTCTTTGTATTTGCGTTTTTTAAATAGTTTCTATTATTTTTTGGTAAAAAAAAAATAGTTATATTATTTGAGTTGCTTATCAACCATTTATGAGTTTGTAATTTTATTCGAGGTTATAATTGTGTTTTAGTGCTGTACATTATTTTTGCCGTGTTTTGATTGTTTATTGCAATCCTAACTTTTTAATGGTTTATGTAAGGAGTATTGCCTATATTGGGATCTTTGATGGGGAAAGTTTTTTTAATGAAGGGATTAGAGATGATGCTAGGAAGATATATGTATTTGTTTGTTTGTTTGTTTATTATTTACTGATATCTTGGTTCGTTAGTTTGTCTTTTGTTTATGAAATTTGGTATGAGTATTCTAGAAACATAAAACTAAGTTATGTTAGAAAGGCATCTAACTTCGAGTT